AGATTTTAATGTGCAGCGCTGTGTTTTAATAGACTATTAAACTACAGCATTACACATTAGCTGGCTATGGCACAATTGCAGAAATATCGAAGATGTGCTCCCGGGAAAGCACTATTTACTTTAATGGGGAGATGCTGCAATAGACTGAAAATCTCTGCAAAGTAAGACAAGAGGAAGACAGGGAGAGGAGAGAACCAGGGAGCCTGTGATCCAGGCTGAAGCAAAACCCTCTTCTCATTCCCAGTTCCTGCATCTGTGAGGGCAGGTCCTTGCTGGGTCGTCACCAACTTTAGTCTGGATGACTTGTTACCATGCTACAGGAAGACTTTTCCAAGCTGTGAGTTTCAAGGTTGGAGTGACTTTGAGGCATGTGGTCATTTGTCTTAGCTTATGGGGGACTGGAGCTTTGATTTTTATGGTTTGTTCTGCTCTCTGTGGCCAAAATGACAGGAGCACAAGGTAGATGATGTTCTTCTTTGGAAAAGTCCTTTTGCTCCGAGATTTTCTCCTCCCAAGTGCCCCCACCTCAGCACACACCGTAAGTAAGCACACACACACACACACACACACAGAGTTGCAACCACACACAGACCTTTTGGTCTCAGCAATAAATAAGGAACTCGGGAATTCCAGAATCTGTTCCCCTCTCATCATTTCAGAGATGGCTGGGCTGAGACTCTTCCCCAGAGAAAACCACCAGATTTCTGATCAGCTGTGATATAAGAGAGCAATTCAGCAGCTAAAGGACCCCATCCAGCCATTATGCAATGTAAAACTGCGGGCAGGTCGTTCTCCACCTGTATCATTCTGCACCAGAAATAAACTCTGAGAACAGAGCTACCCAAGCCTTACTCAGATGAGAGCTGCAAACAGCATTTTCCAAAAAAAAAATCCATCTTAACTCACATGCTTTTTCTTAATGTGCCTTCCTGCTATACAGCAACATTTAAAAACCAAATTGCAAATGCTAAAAAGAGGCCAGTGCCTTCCCAGGATATGCGCCCCCAAACACACTTTTTATGCAAACCCGGGTCCACAGGAAGCCTGGAGGAGGCAGGAAGAAATGGAAAGACAAGGGAAATAACCCCAAAATCAAGAGTACAACAAGACTTCCCCATCTGCCTAAAGAGTTTGCTCATTCAGCCTTGGAAGTAATCGCTTTCTTACTCACCCAGTGACATTTTATTCTGGGTGAGCAGACAAGAATGTTAATTTCATTCATGCTCTCTTCTGTGTGTTATTATGAGGAAGGGGGGATTGCTTTCCTTTTCTTTTTTTAGATGGAGGCCTTGTGAGTAGAGCAGGCAAGCTGCCGTCCACAGGGTAGGATTTGAGATGGTTCTGGGCAAGGCCTCTGGCCTCCCTCCTATAGCCAACGCCTGTCATCCCGCCTACAAAGCTTCATTCCTCTAGGGTTTGAAAGCACATACAAGAAGGGAGTTTCACAGCCTGCATCTTTAAACCTTTTCAAAAACGTATTATAAAAATAACATGCACATAGTTAAACAGTTTTTTCCCAATAGCCCAGGAAGTTATAAAATATAAAGAAAATACCTTCTTCATCTACCTTATCCCTAATCTAATTCGTCAAATGGAGCCACCATTAATAATTTCAGTGTTTGGCTCTTTGGGTTATTGTTATAATTTTAAGTGACTTATTGTCTTAATTTCAACTCAAGAAGCAATCAAACGATTCCCTGTGATTACAGAAGACAAACATATTTTCCCACCTTGGTTGTCCCTCCAGTTCTTAAATGGACTCAACATCTTGAGGTAACGCCTTAGAGATCAACTGTAATCTCAGCAACAGTTAGTTAAGAGTGAGCTGAAGATTCTAGGTGCTGGGCAGGGCTCACAGGGCAAGACTGGAGACTCATTTATTTTTACTACATGGCTCTGTCCGATTGTAGTAACTTTTTTCCCCAATCCCTCTTCCGTTGGTTAAAGGATTGCAGGCATCGGAAGACAGAGAGCCTTGATGCCCAAGGTGAGAACTTGCTTTACAAGCCTCAGCTGTCTTCAATTTGTCTTCATTCATTTGGAAAACATTCATTCATTCAATACCCATGTGTATGCTGCTTGCAGTTTGTGGTAGACAGCATTAATGGCCCAATTCTTCACACCCTTTGCCATGTAACTTTGCAGTGTCTTCCCGTTGTGTGGGCAGAATGAAATTCCCATCCCTAGCCCCAGCCACATGTCTTCCACCTTTGACTGATGGGATATTAGTAAACATAGCACAGACATGCTGGCCTTGCTGCTTCTTGCCTTTCTGCCATCACCATGACAAGGATGAGCCCCAGCTAGCCCTTAGTCTTGAGAGAAGCATGGTTTTCTGGCTAAGTTGCTCCAGCTGAACCAGCCCGGTGGTGATCAGCTAGGCCCAGCCTAGATCACCCAGACCCCACAGAACTGTGAGAAAAAATGTGGGTGGTGGTAGGCCCCTGCCACTCTGTAGTTTTCATTATGTGGCAGTTTTGATTGATACAAAATAATGGATACAATCTTACAGGCACCATCCAGAACACAGGAAAGGCGGCAGGCAGCTGAGACACTACTTTCACGGAGTTCACATTCCATTAGCATACTTTATAGTTTTCACAAGTGTACATTACCCCTTAATCCTCCCACCCTGTGTGGCAGTCCCACTTTTCAGATGAGAAAACTGAGGCTCAGGAAGGCTAAGTGACTTGCTATTATAATATTATAATAGAAGCAATCTAGAAACTGCCAGAGCTGGGACTATGAACCCAGGTCTTCTAAGCCAAATGCTATGCTCTTTCCACTACCCCATAGCAGCCTCAACCTCTACCTTCTCCTGAAGTCTGTTCCTCTCACCAGATTTGCAGAGGGACCTGACTTTGGGTGAGGAGATAGATGGACTAAGTACATCTCTAAGTCTGACCTAAAGCGGATTGCTCTATTATCCATAAAACAAGGAGAAACAACTCCTTTTTATCCCCTGAAATTGTTTCTCCTTGCAATTAAACCAATCTCTGTTTACAAGTATTTAGCATGATTCTAGAAATTGCATTTTAAAATTATGCGAACAGAGAGAAAAGGCAGCCCACACAGTGAGTGATTTCTCGTGGGTAATTGGCTGCTGGTTCTGGCTCCAATGACGCCTTCTTTTTTAGAACATAATTAGTGATTTCAAAGGAAACTGTTAGAAATGGCCTAGGTCTCCAAAGAGAGGCTTCTCTAGCTCTTCACGTCAGGAGGTCTACTCAAACCCAGGCTGACAAATTTCCCTTTTTGTTTTTCTCCCTTTCCTAATGACCTCCCAAACTCTTTTTCAAAGGTTGGAGAGGCTGTAGATGCACAGAACTCTTCCAGATATGGGAGGAATTCCAGATTTGCATCAGAAAACTCAAAGTCTCTTTCCCCTGCCTTCCTTCATTCCCTCCGTTTCCTTCCTTCCCTCCTTCCTTTCTTCCCTCCTTCCTCTTCCTTTATCTTTTTATCTTTCTTTTTTTCTGTCTCTCTTTCTCTCGTTTTTGTTTCTCCCTGTCTTCTTTCAGAGAAAGACAGAGTGTTTGGATTTTAAACAAAGTGTTCATTATTTTCATCATTCATTAAAATTAGATTCAAAAGCTTAAACAATTTGAAAGTTTATTTCTCCTGTAAGAAAATCTGGCAATAGGCAATCCTAGGCTGCTATGATATGGTCCCATGGTCGGTAAAGACCAGGTTCCTTTATCCTTCATCCTCAAGGTCACCTCACGATTCAAGATGGCTGCTGGAGGCTCAGCCATTACATCCACATTCAAGCACCAGGAAGGAGGCAGGGCTATCTACCCCTTAGCTGAGTCAGTTACTATTAGGGAGATTTGCCTGAAGTTCCACAAAAGAATTCTATTTACAACTTATTGACCAGAATGAGGCACACGACCATCTCTAGTTTCAAGAGAAGCTGGGATCACAGCAGCTAAAAATTAGAGTTCTGTTACTAAGGAGGAAGAGAAGAATGGATGTTAGGATAGGAAACTAGTTTCTGCTGCAGAAAGTGGCAGTGGAGAATTAAGAATTGTGAACTGAATGATAATACAGTTTCGTTAGTTTGAAACTAATATTAAAACTACAGAGGTTTGCTTAATTTGTCAGCCTCATGTTGGAAGCTCAGGGTGCAGAAGGGTTTTGTCTCTTGCCCTTTTCTGTCGAAAATGTTACTTATGATTTGAGTGAAGACATCGAGAGCCCTCTGTCTATCTCTGCTGATGGCACAGACCTGGGAAGGGTAGCTACCATGTCAGACAATAAAATCAGGATCCAGAAGCTCAGGAAATGCTGTAAGGCTGGGGAAAAAAAAGTAGCAAGAGAGAATTTAACAGGAAAAAATATAAAATTCAATCTTTAGATCTAAAAAATTAACTGCACCATGATTTCACTTATATGAGGTACCTGGAGTAGTCAAAATCATAGAGACAGAAAGTGGAATATTGGTTGCCAGGGGCTGAGGGGAGGAGGGAATGCAGGGGTATTATTTAATTGAGTTTCAGTTTTGCAGAATGAAGAGTTCTGGAACTGGATAATACAATGTGGAAGTGATGGTTGTATAATGATCTGAATGTGCTTAATATTACGAACCATACACTTAAAAATGGTTAAGCTAGTGAAGTTCATGTCATGTGTTAATTCACCACAAGAAAAAATAACTGAAGCAGGGCATGGTGGTTCATGCCTGTAATCCCAGCATTTTGGGAGGCTGAGGTGGGCACATCACCTAAGATCAGGAATACGAGACTAGCCTGGCCAACATGGTGAAACCTCATCTCTACCAAAAATACAAAAATTAGCCAGGCATGGTGGTGGGCATCTGTAATCCCAATTACTTGGGAGGCTAAGGCAGGAGAACAGGTTGAACCAGGGAGGTGGAGGTTGCAGTGAGCCAAGATTGTGCCATTGCACTCCAGCCTGGGCAATAAAGAGCGAAACTCTGTCTCAAAAAAAAAAAAAACAATTGAAAAAAAAAAAATTGCCCAAGTGCAGGATGAGAGAGACATGGCTTAACTACAGAGTTAAACTCTGGGTGTTAAAAGTGAGATGTAGCTATCGAAAGCTGTATTTGAATCTGGGCTTTGGAAGGAAAATGGAGACTAATATTTATAGAACACCTACGACATGCCACATCCTTTTATGGGCCCTTAATAATAATTCTGGAAGGTAAGTGTTGCCACCCCCTAAACAACAGAGAAACCAAGTAATGGCCCAGTTTCAAATAGCCAGTAAGGTCGGGGCTCTGCTGTTTTCTCTGTCTACACTTTCTCTGTCCAAAGATATGGCCCCTCTGTGGTAGGCCTGGAGGAACTGCAAGGCCCTGGTATTCACTATCAGCCCTGCCTGAAAATCACATTGTAGAGACTGCTCTTCACTCCTTGGGGAGCACAATCTTAGTGGCTCAAGGTAGCGTTTTACTTGCAAGGGAATGATTCAGTCAGGTAGTGTTAACAGCAATTAGTTTATCTGATTAAGCAATTAGCAGTCTTTGTCACTTAGCAGAGATCTGGGCCCACAGGAACCAAAGCATAGCAGATAAGATACGAAGGGGAAAAAAGATGGCAGCGAAACACCACAGGGAGCAGTAGAGAGGCTGGGAGAGAGAACCAGATGCCTGCGAAGAGAAGAGGACAGAAGGGAGGTCCTGGAGACCCTCGACATCACCTCGGCAACATTCCCCAGAACAGATGAGGAAATTGAGGCTCAAAGTCAACAACAATTTCCCAGCTAGTTGGTTCCAACTGGCCAGGTCAGTAGTTCTCAACTGTGGCAGCACATTAGAATCACCTGGGGACTTCAAAAAATACCTATGCTGGGACCGGGTGCCGTGGCTCACGCCTGTAATCCCAGCACTTTGGGAGGCCGAGGCGGGTGGATCATGAGGTCAGGAGATCTAGACCATCCTGGCTAACATGGTAAAACCCCGTCTCTACTAAAAATACAAAAAGTTAGCCGGACGTGGTGGTGGGTGCCTGTAGTCCCCGCTACTAGGGAGGCTGAGGGAGAAGAATGGCGTGAACCCGGGAGGCAGAGCTTGCAGTGAGCCAAGATCGCGCCACTGCACTCCAACCTGGGCGACAGAGCGAGACTCCATCTCAAAAACAAAACAAAACAAAAAATCTGTGCTGGAGCCCCACCCCAGACCTAGCAAATCAGAATATTGGGGAAGGGACCTGGGCATTGGTACTTTTAAAAAGGGTCCAGGTGATTCTAATGTGCAACAAGGGTTGAGTGGCCTTGGAGACCCTGGTGGTGGGTTGCTCAGGCACAAGGTATAGCTCCATGTAGGGATTTCCAGCCAGGGAGACCCTGTCTGGTCTGCTTGGGAAATTTATTGCTATCAATGCACACTTTCCCTCTGTCCAATTACATGGCTCTGAGGATGAAAGCACTTTCTCATCAAAGGTGGGGAATCCCGGAAGCGTGAAGGATCACAAAGCCTGAAGCAAGCCAGCCTGGCCTCTTCATTTCTCCCAGGATATCCGTATAATTCCCCTTTTTTCCATGCCTGCTTCTGACTCTCACCCTGGCTCCATTGCTGCCGACAACACCTGCTCCTTCATGAGCTCTCTTCACTCAGGCTGGTCTGAAATACTCATTCTTCCATAAATTGTTCCCCAATTTCAAGGAAAAGAGGCTTTCTCTGCTTCTTTTACTTTGCATGATTATATAATATACTCTTACTCTTTGTCATTGTAAACTATCCCAGTTTTCATACCTGTGCCGGGCTGGCTACATACAGCAAACCACCGAAGAAGTTAGGCTGGGCGTAAGGACTCTCAGGGCTTACCCTTAAAGCATCTAATCCAAAGTCCAGGCTGGGCTCCGGAATCTGTACCACTAAAAATACTACCTACTTTAGCCAGATTTGCCCCTTGGCTTACACAATATAGTATAAAATGTTAAGGAGGCTCTCTTCTTAGGTTACTGTAGTCTTATGTAAAATGTGTGTGTTTATTTTGAGGAGGTACAGGGGAGAATGTTTCATTGTGTTGCGCAGGAATCACCAGGCACTTATATATGGTGAAGAAATTAACTCATTTATCTTTGAAGTTGAAAGTAACTTTTCCACCAAAAGAAATTTAAAATTCCCCTTCCATCTTCAGAGCGTGGAGAATACTGACTGTGGCAGACAATGAAGAGAGAATACAGACACGGACCAACGGATGAAGGAGGAGCAACTAGGTTGTAGGCAACCAGCATTTTGTGGTTTTAGAAAGACTAACCTTTGAAGAAATGTGTTGATAGAGAATGTAAGCTGAAATTAAAGATTTCCTGAAAATGAAACAAGAAAAAGATACTCCAACTTAGATCTCCAAGAGATAATAGCATCGTAGGACATATGCAAAGGGCAAAATCTCAACAGACAGGACTCAACAGACAGACTCAAGAACAGAGCCTTTGTAAGACTGCTGCTAAATTTAATGTCCTTCTTCATGGGCTCTTCAAAGGCGGGCAGATTCTAATCTTCTTGATGGTGTCTTGCCGCCCTTAGCATCCCTCCCCACAATCCCATACCCACCTCCATCTCTGAGCCTCAGCTGTTATCTCCCCAGATCTGAAATCCAGTGAAGTCAGAGCGACTGTAGGGAATGCATGGGTGCATTGAAAAAGGCTGCTCTACTGCGAAGGGCTGAGAATGCTGGTCCCAAGCTAGGATGACACTCGTCCTTATATTCAGGGCCAGGAGGAGTCATGAATTTCCAGGATGGCAAATGGGTTACAGAAAGAGGCTGCCTTAGAATACTCAGCTTCCCAGGTGAAATTTACTGGAGGAGTCAATTGAGGGTCCATATTCGACAGCAGAAATCATTTGAAATGTTTTCCTAGAGTGGATATTTCCCAATGCAATAGGGAGGGTTCTTAACCAGATGAAGATAAGCAGGGATCTGTGATAAACTTCAAGTGGTCTGTAAAACCTCTGAAGTCGTAGTCGAAATTGTGTCTGGGGTCCATAGCTTTTATCAGAATCTCAGAGAAATATATGGCACACAAAAAGTTAAGAGCCACTTAACAGGGACTTGCAGTGGCAACACCTCTGCCCAGCCCCCCAGCAGCCTCAGCCTCATCAGTATCACATCATTGCTGGGAATATCGTCTCTCCCAGCCCACTCCCCTGAAAAATTTACCCTATCGGGAAGACCTTCCTAAACAAGACAGGAAACCTGGAGACCATGAAAGAAAATACTGACAGATTTTATTATCTAAAACAGAAAAGTTTTTATACAGAACAAAACACTATAGACAAAACAAAAAGCAAATGATAGGCTAATAAAAATATTTATAATTGACATGGACAAGAGTTAATATTCTTAATATACAAAGAATAAAGTTTTAAAATGGAAAAAGACCAGAAGAGTTAATTTATAGGTGAGGCTATTCAAACAGATAACATTTTAGAAGATCTACCTACCTCCCTAGTGATCAGATATATACAAATTAAAACAGAGTCACATTTCCCAGCAATTAGATTGGAAAAATAAAGATCAATAATGTCTAATGTCTAGTCATAAACTGCTGTGGGAACATAAACTGGTATAATCTTTTTAGAGAGAAATTGAACAGTTACTAATACAATTTCAAATGCATACAAATTTTGATCCAGAAATTTCACTTAGAGGAACTTATTCCCCAGAAAAGTCATGCAAGTGTGTACAGTGTTTACTTAGTTAATGTAATAGTAAAAATCTGAAGGCAACATAAATATTAATTAATAGTAAAATGAGACAAACCATGGAATATTATGCAGCCCTTAAGAGAGAATGATGTCAGTCTGTAGGTATCAATGTGGCAGAAGGCCCATAATTTATTATTGAGTTAAAAAAAGGAATTATGCCATATATGATATGATTTTTATCTGTATTATAAACTGTAAAACAATATGTATATGCATAAATGTTCATGAATACACATTTCCTATCAGCATAGCCAATGTTCTGAAAAAATGTATATTTATCTATGAATAGCAGTTTCCCCTGTGATGTTGAGTCACAGAGTCATTTGTAAAATCAGTTTTCACTGTATTATTGAATTTTCAACTTCTATATACTACTTTTGTAATTAAAAATATAACTAGGTTGGACACGTTGGCTCATGCCTGTACTCCCAGCACTTTGAGAGGCTGAAGCGGGCAGATCACCTGAGGTCAGGAGTTCGAGACCAGCCTGGCCAACATGGTGAAATCCCATCTCTAGTAAAATTACAAAAATTAGCCAGGCGTGGTGGCGGGTGCCTGTAATCCAAGCTACTCAGGAGACTAAGGCAGGAGAATTGCTTATACCCAGGAGGCGGAAGTTGCAGTGAGCCGAGATCGTGCCTTTGCACTCCAATCTGGGTGACAGAGTGAGACACTGTCTAAAAAAATATATATATATGTGTATATATATATACACACACACACATATATGCATAAAATAAAAAATACAAAAACATATATATTTAAAAAAGCTAAAACACTCTCTTTAGGAGTCTATCACAACCCATTTGTAATATAGCTTTTATTGATGCTACCTTGACCCAGTTTTGAGGCACACTGGCCAGAGGCTGATTAGTTCCCCTTTTTGAGTAGCCAGTTAAATCCACACCCCTACATGGCCTCACTTATTGGGCTCTCACACTCCCAGGTCAATAAATACCAGTCCTAATTGCCCCAAGGCCAAGGAGCAGTCAACCAGGGACAATCCCACATAGTGCGCTCTGTTCTTCCCATGGAACTGTGACAATAACCATCTGTACCACTCTATCCTGCTTCTCTCTCTTGATCTGCATCTGCCCAATTCCTCACCCAGGGTAACATGGTTGAAATACTAGTAAAAGATGCTCAGCCATGTTTTCACAGAATACTCCATAGTAGATGTCCAGAGCTCATGGAATGACCTCCAGAACCCCCCATTTCATCTGCCTTTGCCTGGCATGTTTCCTTGGCTGACACCCTGCAGACCTATGCATGGGTTCCTGCCCCTGATGCACCTTTGGCTCCACTCCCTAGCTTCTTTTGCTTCTCCTATCTGGCCCGGCATCTTGGAGTGGTCATTGCCTGATGACCTGCTGTCTGGCACAGCTCCCACCAAACACGGCCCAGCTTCATGGGCAGTCCTCTAGCAAACATGACCTTAAAGCACAGAAACAGCCAAAACCCAACACGGTCAGACCTGGAGTGGGCCGAAGTTGAGGTCAGAAACCAGGCAGATAGATTGTCAGGAGTTTGGAAACAGGGGACACTAGCAACCGCCTTTCCCAAGCAGTACTGCAAGCAGAGGCAGGGGTGTGGGTGGACACTGGAGGCTAAGACAAGCAGGCTATTGGGAGCCAGATGGATACGTCGAAGGGCAAAGCAAGGTAGGGGCCAAAAGGGCAAGCTGAAGGTCAGAGCCGAGCTCATCTGTAGAGGAGGTGGCAGGTTATGAAGGACACCGAGCATGGCTTTGAGAGGCTGGGTCTGCATTCTGCCTCTGCCGTTTGGTAGATCACAGCCTCGGGCATTTGCATTTTTTTAAGCCCCAATGTCCTCATCTATAAGACTAGACATAATGCTATATACTAAGCCCACCTCATGGATGGTCATGAGGGTCCATGCCCCACGTCCCCACCACTCCCCCAACAACCTGAGATCTAGAAGGTGAGAGAGCAGCAAGTGGAAGGACAATTGAGAGGCTCCCTGTGGAAGGTGCCTCGATTCAGAGGTAGAAGCTTCTTACTAATGTGTCTCTGCTCTGGCCTTCTAAAGTCTTTTGGGCAGAACTCAGGATGCGGTAGTAATTGGCCAGAGATGGAAAGAACCTAACAGGAGGTTCTTATACTGGGCTGGCCAAATTCTGTGTCTTTTATCTGCCCTCATGTTCCAATTCTAATCTCCACAGATCCTCAAAAAAAAATTTTTTTTTTTTTTTGATGGAGTCTTGTTCTGTCACCAAGGCTGGAGTGCAGTGGCACAATCTCAGCTCACTGCAACCTCTGCCTCCCAGGTTTAACGGATTCTCCTGCCTCAGCCTCCCGAGTAGCTGGGATTACAGGTGCCCACCACCATGCCTGGCTAATTTTTGTATTTTTAGTAGGGACGGGGTTTCACCACGTTGGTCAGTCTGATCTTGAACTCCTGACCTCAGGTGATTGACCTGCCTCAGCCTCCCAAAGTGCTGGGATTAAAGGCATGAGCAACCACGCCCGGCCAGAGCCTCAAATTCTATATGCTCCCCACTTCCCCTGTCCCATCTAAGTACAAAATTTCCTCTCATCCCTGTTTGAGGCTGCTAAGTTAAGAACAACACGTCTGTATCCAAATCTTCAGGCAAGACATGAACTCTCAAAGCTACCTCAGTGCAACCCCCTCTTGTTCACCCAATTCTTCAGAAATCTCAAACAATTTCCATTATTGGCAGACATGGGGTTTCCTTGTTGCGTTCCACTTTCATACAACTGGAATTCGTAGACAAGAAAAATACAGCTGTTAATGCAGCACTAACTGGGCTTTTATGCACTTCACAGGCAGGAGACTGGCGTGGAATGCCACACACCTCCTTATCACGGCTTGCTTGCTGGGACCTCTATTCATCTTATGCATTGTGTATCTCGGAATTTTCCCAGATGTGGTGGAGAGTCATGTTGCTTGCTCTGAGAATTATGCAAAAGACTATTATTTTTCTTGAGCAAGAAATCATAAGCACTCCAGAACACTTGTGACTCGGGCAGAGCCATGGGGTGGGTTTTCCATGAAAGCAAAAGGAATGAATTGACATCAACTATGTTAACTATCCCTCCCCAAAGGGTGGCAGCTCCCTGGTCCAACCCAAACGTGAGAGTCATTCTGAAATAACAAGGCTTTAAAAACTCACAGTGGACCTCAGTTCTTTTAGCTTCATGGCTCCATTATGTATTGGCTGAGAGAGCTGTAATCATTAGTCGCCTATTTTTTTTCAATTAAAATAATTAAGCCAATGTAGTGTTCATGAGAGTACTAGATTTGGCAGCCTGGGGAGCTGAGCCCTCTGTTTTTCAGCACTGGGGTTCAGGAGGAACTGGAGCTGCGTACCCACATTGAGACTAGCCTCTTGTAAGCAGAGAGCCAGCGAAGATATTTCACAGGTGGGAGGAGGAGCAAAGGCCTTTGTGTTGGAGATAGCCCACCTTTCTGCTGAGGGAGGGCGTTTTCATTCTCTAACTCTTTTGGCACCAGGGACTGGTTACATGGAAAAGATTTTTTTCTTGGACCAGGGTTGGGGGTGGGGATGGTTTCAGGATGATTCAAGTGCATTACATTTATTGTGAACTTTATTGCTATTATTATTACATTGAAATATATAGTGAAATAATTATACAACTCACCATAATGTAGAAGCAGTGGGAGCCCTGAGCTTGTTTTCCTGCAACTAGATGGTCCCATCTGGGAGTGATGGGAGATAGCGATAGATTCTCAGGCATTAGATTCTCATAGGGAGCATGCAACCTAGATCCCTCCCACACGCAGTTCACAATAGGGTTCACGCTCCTAAGAGAATTGAATGCCCTGCTGATCTGACAGGAGATGGAGCTCAGGTGGTAAGGCTTGCTTGCCTGCCACTCACCTCCTTCTGTGTGACCTGGTTCCTAACCAGCCACTGACCCAGTTTGTGGCCCAGGGTTTGGGGACCCCTGGTCCAGACACTTGGAGAGCACCTGAAAGGCCTGCATTGCACTGTGCTACTCTGAAGCCTCAGGTACTATGAGTGGGTGCTCAGACTGATCTGCCTTCTAATTTATCAGGCAACCATGGTAGCTGCAAGTTCATCCTGTGGGTGTTAAGTCATTTTGCTCATTTCCTCTCTGTAAGTATGCAGGCCATACTAGGAGGAAGATGATGATGATGAGGGTGGGGGTAATGAACAGACTGGAGCACTCCAGGGGAGGGCTTCCTGGGACAAAGGCAATGTTTGGCAGCTTCTGAAGGGAGGGGTCACCTCTGTTGAGTAACCTCCTATTTCCACCGCTCAGGGGATTAATGTTTCTGTCCCGAAAGTGGGTTCAGGGAAGCTGGCCTCTGCCGTGTGGGTCTCCAGCAGTCCCGCCCTCCCCACTACATCTTCCAAAACTCTGCTGTGGAACTGCAGCAGGTGGGCGTTGGTCCTTCAGAGATATTAACAGCATGCAATACAAGCCCAGCCTCATTC